GGAAATCCTCGGTTGACGTTTATGTTTTGCTTATAAATAACCCGATTCATACTATTGTATATAGGATAAATTTTACTTCATTATTGAAACGTTGCTCAATTATGATGCGAGATATTTTATACATACAATGAAATTATAAAGCCTAAATTCAATTCCATGAAAACCATCAATGTTGTAGTATTTATTTGCAAACGTATTAAATTTACATATCATGCAGTAAACTCCATTTTGTATAAATAAATACTTTTGTGTTGTTATTTCGTGTATTTTCTATTTCTAAATATTGTTCATTATTTATGTCAATGACCTTCCAAGATGTCTTAGACATTCTAAATCCATGTTTGTTGATGAATTGAAGCTGTACACTTGTATACAAAGTTCATCCGATTGTATGAAGCTACAGAAAGATCTTGATCGTTTAGATGGTGTTCTAGATGGCAACTTAAAATTAAATTCAGTAAATATAATGTTATATTTTTTAGCATTAAGCATAATTCAAAGACACATATATAAAATCCGTGATGTTGTTGTTAGTGGAATCACGTTTATACGCGATTTAGGTGTTTTATAAACGAGTTTTAGATACCATATAAATAATTGTGTAAGCATAGCTTTTAAAATGTTTTCTAAAGCGGACGTGTAAATCTTTTGATAATGAGGAGCCACCTTGAGTACTGTTCTCAGGTGTGGTCTCCTCCACAAACATTTCTTGTTAATAAAATTGAACGAGTTGAACAAGAAATTTATAAAAACTTTATGTATAAGGTCAAATATAATAATCAAAAGATTATGTATCACTCTGCAACCTTTCAATTTGCCTCTTTTATTTTTTTTACAATATTCCATTCATTCTTATTACGATTGCTCCTACATTTTATCTGAAGTCCCTTTACATGTTGCAACTTGTTCTACGAAGTTGCGCTCGCTTTTCCATGTACCAAAATGCCTATTTAATACAATGTCAAAAATGACACAATTGGTATTTTTATAATTTTTTATAGTTTTAAAAACAATGTAGTCGCTTCTTTTGGAGAGCATTTTTTTCCTATTTGTGATTTTTAATATTTGATAAATGTTTTATTTGTGAACTACTTTATTGTACAAGCCAGTAAATGATTTTTCTAGCTTGATAACATAAAATATAAATAAATAAGTGTATTTAAAGGGGGAGGTTCGTCGCCTGCGCACGCGCGGGAGTTGAGTCCCAAACGACGATAACAACACACGCTAAAACGCAAAGGTTCATGGGTAGACGCTTGTTCATAACACAGTCTTTCAACACCCGGTTAGGAAACGCTCCGAGTTCTATTGTCACAATGCACGTTTCGCGTTCGTAAAATTAGCTTACCGGTAATCCCCACGCTGTCAACATTAACATAAAATTAACATATAGTATGACATCATTTTTACCCAGAATAGCTTGCGATTTATTTCCGCGCAGACGCACACAACTTTATTTTCCTATTCACTACTGACAAGTTACAACTTTCTTTCGAGTATTTTATTATAACGAAATGCGGGGAAAACATGACGATTCCTCGATTTCAGCAACAGAGAAATTGATTGGGACGACATTATTATCCTTTAGGACGTTCCCATCTATTTAACTTGTATGGCATCCTGATAAGTGTATGGATTCCGGTTGAAATCTGTCCACAAACGAGACTGAATCTTTAACTGGAAAAAAACGAATGAAAAAATAAGCAATGGAAATAATGTTATCAATTTTTTGTGATATCTAACCTCCGAATGTTGAGGGACTATGCTTATAGTAACACTGTGAGTGTCGAACGAACCGCACAATAAATCAAAAGTAGTACGCGATATAACGAATGCACTACGCAATATACGAATGTACTACAC